GAGATGGATTGTTTAAGTTTAGAGTTTGGAGTTAGAGATATTAATATTTGTTTACTTGTATTTGAATATTAGCCTAGGTTTGGTTTGGGAAGTCCGGGGGGTGGGGGGATGGGATAAATCATTGTGTAATACCTGTGATGTATTTCTTTTTTCTCTTATGATAAAAACAATAAAAAAATTTATATTGAAAAAAAAAAAAAATAAGTCAGGTCCAGCTTTCCACCTATCACAAAAAAGTAAACAAACAAAACGTAAATACAGAAGTATCAGCTATATGGAAATGCAGTACCAGCATTCTGTAATGTTCCCCAGCATCCTAAGAGAAGCACTGTTCTTTATCCTGGGAGTATAGTAATTTCCCTAAGAGTAAGTTTTGAAGTTTTCTACAATGTACGGTATAGATGTTTTGTAGCAGCTGTACAAGAGGAAACAGAGAGCAAGTGAGATAATTTCTTCATAAAATCAAGTACTCTTAAAAACAATAGAATGGCTCTGAAAATGTTCTTTATTTAGGTTTGGAAAAGCTGGGAGAAGGTATTCTCCTGCCCCCAAGTGGCTGCATTGTATAATCCACATTTGCCATAAGCTCTCATGTATTTAAGACTTAATTCTAGTGGTACATAGATAGATAGACAGATAATAATAATTCCGGTCAGTGATCAGATGAAACATAATATATATAAACAAAATATAGCTAAGAAAAAACCAACCGACCATCCATATAGATTTCAAAAATGGAAAAGGTATGATCCTACTATGAATTCTAATAGTCCAAAGTATTAAAGATTCTAAAATATTAGAATAACTGGAATTAGCATTTCATTCCTATGGAATTAGCATTTCATTCCTATGAGTCAAATAGATATTCAACCCATTGAAAAGGCAATGCTGTTACAGCCTTTAGTGTTTACCCTTTAGATCCACATAAAACACTGTATTTGCACTAAACACAGCAACCTTAGTGTCAGACATTATCTAAATAGCCAGCTTATAATTAAATAAAATAATGTTAAGAGTCAGTGGTATAAAGCAAACTATATATGTGGCACGTCATACATTTCCATCTGTATTAAGCTTATAAAGTGTATCCTACTTATTTACCTGCTTCCATTTTTCCAAACAGATCCCCATCTCTTATTTTGATTTTTATCTTTTATCCAATTCATTCTGTGCAGTCAATCAATCTGAGTGAAATAGTAAAAGTCCTTTTCCTCCTTCTCCTTCCCCCTCCCCCACCTTCAATTCAATTCAGAGGAGAATATTGCAGTGCTGGAGTGACAGGAAACACCAAGAATTCAAAGAATGTAAAAAGATGGCACTTTTTCAAAGGAAGAAAGAAAGGTAGAGAATACCATTTATGAAATGATGGGATCAGGTAATTTTAGATCCTGGACAGGAGGACTCTTATGCCTTTCTAGCCATAGCGTTGGCAGGTGAATAAGCACAATTTTGTTACAGACAAGGATAATCAAAATCAAAACTAAAACATGAACATTATATGACCCCAGATTATAAAATGCTTTTAAAAGAAAGCCTTGTATTTTGACAAGGATTGGGGACCTTTCTTGATCAGCCACTTATTGACATCCCACCCGTTTGCCCCCACCAGCTGTTAGCTTCTAGGTGACTATTTGCTCGTCTCCTTCTCTGTGGGGCTTGGCTCTTTGATCCTGTCCCACTACGCGAGAGTTGGGACGGAGGCGCAGAGATGTTCCTCCAAGCCCTTAACACGGCTTTTAACTTTTTCATGGCGTTACCATCTATGTTGCGAGCTTAATAGAGTCTACAGGTCTGAGTTACTAACCCTGCGTGTAAGAGCGCGGGTATGCCCACGCAGTGTAGGTTTTCGCAAGGCCTTGGGATGGCAGCTATCGGAGGACGTGGGCTCTGGCCAAGAGGGCGAATAAGAAAATGCGCGTTTCCCCTCCGCAGTTTATTTTCTCGGTAGACTTAGCTTCTTCGCGGAGAACAGCTGCTAAGCCTGAGAAATAGCTTCGCCCATCTACTTAGATTTTCCCAAGCACCGAGCCCCAAAGGAAGGAGAGACCACAAATCACTCAAGCCAGCCTAGGGCGGAGCGCAGAGCTGCCTTCCGGTGCTCGCAGCTAAACCCGCCGATGTCCAGCGTTCCGCGGTTTGTTGCCTGGCGGCCACCGTCGCTTTCGTTCTTACGCAACCTTCTTCAGCCGGGCGGAGACTAGGGAATGCTCCGAGAGTCGAATGGCATCTTCTCGGTCGTAACGTCAGGTAGCCGAGCAAGCGCGGCTGTCGATCTCTAGAAACCCCCCCTCCCCTCTTGTTTCCTAGGCAACGAGCAGTAAATCTCGCTGAGCAGACTTTCCTGGGGCCGATGACACGCATTCTGGAGTGGCGAGGTGATTGGATGAGATAGGTAGGTAGGTAGGTAAGTAGGTAGATTCTCTCTCTCTCTCTCTCTCTCTCTCTCTCTGTGTGTGTGTGTGTGTGTGTGTGTGTGTGTTTCTGTGCCTACATGTGATTATGTGCCACCAAGAAGTTTTATAATTCTAGTTACCACATGGATAGATTTTCTCCATGCTGAGGTGTCCCTAATCTGTTCTTTCAAATCTCCCAATGGTGGACCCATCACCACTGTAACTGAGTTCATCCACCTTGTTGCTGATCGGTCTCTTCCTCTGTTTCTTTCCACTTTTCACAGCATTAGAGCCTTTTCCAAAGAGCTGAGACTTCCTATTATTTGGAAGAAGTAAAGAAACCTGTTTCTGGTCATTTGCTCCTCGAATGAGAATTCTGGATTGATTTGTTCTATGATCCATTTGTTTGTTTTCTTGGCTGTCCAGAATACTCTCAGGAATCTTCTTCAACAATATTTATGTATATATGTGAATGGATGGATGGATGGGGTGAATGGATGGGGTGAATGGATGGATGGATGTGTGTGTGTGTGTGAGAAAGGGCCACATTATACAGTGAGATTACTCATTTCAGTTTAGATATTTATGAAATCAATGCAACTTGCAGGCAGATGCAAAATACTTCATGTTGGCCTGAGTCACATTACCCATGAAGCCATAATGTGGTTTCCTTGGGTACTGTAGGAGTAAATCCAACCATTGGGAATGGCAATCAGGATGTTGTATGCTCTCAGTCAGTTTATTCAAGATCTAGAAATCACAGCTTACAGGTAACCCTTAATTTACAACCATTCATTTAATAACTATTCAAAGTTACAAGAGAACTGAAAAAGTGACTTATTACTGGTTTTCACCCTTATAACCATTGCAGCATCCTCATGGTTACGTGATCAAAATTCAGGCACGTGGCAACTGTATTTATGACAGGTGCACTCTCCTGGAGTCATTTGATCACCATTTGTAACCTTCCCAGCCAGCTTCTGATAAGCAAAGTCAATAGGGAAAGTCAGAATCTATTTGCTTAATGACTGCATAATTCACTTAATCACCACAGTGATTCACTTATCAACAGTGCAAAAAGGTCATAAAATGGGGCAAAACTCACTTAACAACTGCCTTACTTAGCAACAGAATTTTTGGGCTCAATTGTGGTCATAAGTGGAGGACTACCTGTACTTCAGTGTATAAAGGAGTGCTTCCAGATGAACAGCTCTTAGTACTCCCAAGTTCTGTCTTTTTTTAACTGACAAAAAGGCTTGAAGACGTTGGAAAACAAAGAAATTTGACCTATAAGGTCAAAACACTTTCATAAGAGGTTCATCCTGCAGTGTAGTTAGTGAGACATGATCTGGAAATCCCCTTTGGTAGCCCACTCTAAGCTGAACTGCAGAAATTTTTATTTTTTTAGAAGAATACAAAATATAGCCAAAATGCCAAAATAAATTAAACAATTTTTTAAATTTCATATTACTATACTTCCATTGTTTATTTTTATTGCTGTACTCCTTTGCTATGGTGATATTTTATATTTTTTCCCCATCTTGTAAGCTGCCCATAGTAGACCCACAGCAAATAAATTTAATAAGTAAATCCTTAAAGTTAATAATAAAAAGAAAAAGAAGAGAAGAGAAAAATGGAAAACAAATAAATAAAAAATATCTATCTCACCCTGGGAGTGTTGCAGTTTATAATTTGGGAACCATTGTACTAAGCTATTTTAATATGAATAATCATGAAAGTAATGTATATGTTCCTAATGCAAAACACAAATTTCTATCATTCCAGAAATTATTGTATACAGTTTTATGCCCCGATTGAGCAATGAAATGTTTTTTTAACGTTTAGGTCTCTAGGGATTCCTTTAATCATTCTCTACCTCAGACTTCAGCTTCATGAATAAAGCTTAATAGTGGCATTGGATACATAATCCTCTGTATTGTTAGTAAAACCAAAATACTATTTTACATGTTGTATTATGACATAAATAAGCAGTTCACATCAAAACTTAGTTGCTTTAAACATCAGTAATATAATAGCATCTGTAACAATCCAGGCTACTCTCTCACTTGGAAATGATAGCTGTAAACATTCAACATGTTAATGAAAGATTAACTATGATGCACAAAACCATATTCACCCAAACTGAATGACATTGGCCAATTTAGTGAGCAACAGCTAGTTACTTAGCTGATGTTTCACCCTATTGTCATCAGATTGTACTTCTCTAGTGCTCCAGTATTTAAATTTGAGCATCTTGAATGTTCTTGTACAAAAATGACTGAATTCTCAACCTTGTATCATCGCAGCACAATAGACACATGCCTTCATTTCTTTATACAGAGCTTCATCATACTGACTGAAAATTCCCAACAAAATTCTGACACATCTATAAGGCCTCAGTATCTTTCTAATGCTGCATTTTAGATCAATGTATCATATTTAGAAGCCTGCCTGTATGTTGATGTTGAGAAAAATTTGAGAAGTATAGTGCAAGTTTATGCCACGCAGGGAGTTTACAGACTAGACTTTTGTCTTAGCCAGAAATATGAGAAATATAAGACTGAGAAGAAAAGTTCAGTGATTTAGGGCAAGAGTCACCAACCCTTGGACAGCGGATGGTACTGGTTTGTGGCCCAATGGGAACCGGGCCACACAAACTGCAGGCAAGTGTGCAGTTCATTTGCACATGTGCAGGATCTAAGTTGCATGTGAAACTATCCCTCCCCCCCCCCCCCCCCCATCACTTCCGCTGCCACCACTGTCAGTCCATGAGCTAGAAAGATTGGGGACCGGTGATTCAGAGAATGCATATGATAACGTGCATAGACCTGAATGACTGAATGTTTTGTATGAATATGATATACAATAGAAGGATGGTTTCTAAGTATACTAAGATAAGTTTGATGTAAGTAAAACATGCATGTGAATAAATGGAATGCTAAGTAAATTGTTCAGCAGAGACTAGGACAACGAAATGTGATGTTCCATTCATTATTTAAAATATTTATGGATAAAAATATGAAGAATGTTTGCAGTGAAGTTAGGAGACTGTTATATGTATATTTTTACATGCAAACAATATATTGGGTAGATTTGCAATGAATATTTGATGCAATGAGGCATATAAATCTGAAAGAGAAAATAGCGTGAATAAGGTAAAGTGAATAGTGTTGATATTAACTATCTTTCCTTTTTCTTATCTTATGTTTTTAATTTCTATTCCTTATTATTTATATCTATGTAAATAGACGATAATTTGAGTATTACGTATGTGTAAAATGGTTTTCTCTTCTTATCACTTGAAATACAGTTAGTGCAGGGGTAGGCAACCTTGACTCTTTTATGACTCATGGACTTCAACTCCCAGAATTCCTGAACCAGCCATACTGGCTCAGGAATTCTGGGAGTTGAATTCCATGAGTCATAAAAGAGCCAAAGATTGCCTATCCCTGGTTTAGTGGTAATTTTCCAGCAAATGGGGAGTCCAAAATCAAAATTTTCTGAGGCTGAATGTTGAATACTATTAGATATATACTGAATACTATAAGAATATTCCCTTCTTTACATAGATTACAGAGATTGTGTGTGTGTGTGTGTGTGTGTGTGTGTGTGTGTGTGTGTGTGTTGAAAGCATCATAAAAGTCACATACATACCCCCTCCCCCTTTCTGCATCTATTTTATACCCATTGCATGCACTGTAGTAGCATTTAACTAAGTGGCTACATAATGGTATCTATCTGACTTACTTATTTTTAAATTGTTTCCCTAGAACTAATACTGAAGCAAGCAGCAACATCAGATAATCCAGTGCTCTTTCTTCAGCATTATGCCAGGCAGTATACACCAACATGTGTCCCAAGTAAGGACTCTGTACAAAAAGATCCTTCAGCTTCACCGTTTGTTGCCACTGGAACTGAAAGCCTTGGGAGATCAATATGTGAAAGATGAATTCAGGCGACACAAATCCATCAGTCTTCAGGAGGCCCAGCACTTCCTACAGGAATGGGAGGCAAGTGATTTCTTCTATACTTGGAGTTTAACTTTGGTGCTTTGGATTAGTGCCAGATACAATGTGTCAAGGTTTCATAATTTGCACCCCAAAGGTACCTGCAATTCTCCCAGACACCCCTGAGCTTCTTAAAAAGTTGCTGTTGAATTGAAATGCTTAATAGACAAAAGTAGAAAAGTGTTAAGTGCTTGGCAAATAATCGTGGTATTGGATTTGATAATTAAAATAATTTTAAGTAAATTTAAAATAAAAAGAAATCAGATGATGTAGTTTTTCTCCTGGGCTCACTTATCTTATTTATTTTGGATATTTGGACTTTTAGTACTTCTTTCTATATTTCATTTAAGTTTAAATGTCCAATTTAAACTTAAATTTTATCCAAATAAAATTTAGACTTTATCTATCTTACTATGCAGTCTTTCTGGTAATCTTAAATTAAAATAATGTCAAATAATGTCAATGCTCATTCCATAATTAATGTATATTGCAGGCACCAGCTTCATTTGTTTTTATTTTATAATTAGGACGAGGGGCGCAGTGGCCCAGTGTTAAAGACACTGAGCTTGTTAGCTAGAAAGCTAACAGCCCAGGTTCAAGTGCTGTGTGACAGGGTAAGCTTCCATTACTTGCTCCAGCTCTTGCAAACCTATCTGTCATGGTTCCGACTAATGAAACCAAATACATCAGAACTCTGAGGCTTGAAGTTTCCTCAAAGCACGTGTTTACTGAATACATAATATCGGTACAGTCAAAAGTGCAACCAACTCTAAAATTTGCCTTACCGATTCAATGTAACTAAATGTAAGAATTCCCTCCCCTCTACTATGCTATAGATCATGCTACCCATTAAAAGCAATTGGTGGGCTTCGTGAAACCTCTTCTCTCCACCTTCCAGCTCCTGTGGAAATGATCTTGGTTCCCATAGGACTGCTCCGTGTTTAGTCTAGCAAAGCTATCATTTTCTTCCCCCCTTCTCCCCTCAACCTGTGGCAACTCAGAATGACAAAAATGGCTTTAGCCAGGTTCGTTTCAGAAGTTGATGTAGGATTCCCCTAAAGAGAAAGCAGTTCCTGAAAATAAGAAGCATCGATACACATTAGTATTTTACTAATTCCCTATTCTATTGTCTGGGGGTTCTTTAGGTTTTTGGGATGTTTATTATGAAACTTATGTATTAATCTATCTGCCTTTACATCTTTACTCTTCACCCATCTAGCTTCAGACAAAGGATAGCCCTTCCATTGAAATAAGTACTGTAATTTCCCCTTATACCATCTAGAATCAAGAATTCATTTTATTGCATAATGGGTGTCACCCTCTACCATAATGAGACGTGGGGCAGTTCAAGGTACTGGTCTCAGTGTTGATTCTACAATTGGTTTCAACAAACTGCAATGGAAAACTGGATGTATTTTCCCCAAGAGTCGTGGAGCTTTAGCTTCACTGTGTCAGGGTTTATGATTCGTACGATAGGGAAGGGACCAATATATTTAGGTCCTAGCTTTTTAAAGTGTAGTTTTAATCTTAGGTATTTGGTTTAGAGATAGACTTTCACCCCTATATGAAACAGTTTCTGGGAGAATCACTTCTTATCTGCTTGCTCTTTTTGAATCTTTGTGGCTAAGGTACGTTTAACATTTACCCAAACACTCTCAGTGAGTTTACCCACTCAGTCAGTGTTTGTGAGAAGTGGGCTCTTGAGGGTATTCAGGCATGGGAATGAACTCCCTGCCTGTAGCCACTTTGAACGGAGTAAGTCCAGTACTGCTGTGTACAGTGTTATTGTATGCCACTTCAACAAAAGGCAGGCTATCTGCCCAATTAATTTGCTGATAGTTAACATAGCATCTCAGATATTGTTCCACCATTGCATTTGCACATTCAGCAGCTCCATTCATATTCGGATCAAAAGCTGAGCTGAGCCCTGAGGTGAATCTGATCAGCTTCAGGAACTCCCTCCAGAATTTTGCTGTGAATTGGACCCTTTAATCTAATATAATTCTTCTTGTGCTCTGTGGAGTCTGTAGATATGTTTTAAAAACAGTTTCGCCAGTTTCAGGGTGGAGGGAAGTCCAGGGCAGGCTGTAAAATGAGCCTGCTTTGAGAAAAGGTCAATAACAGTCCATATTAAGGTATTTCCGCTATTTTCTGGGAGTTCTACAGTGAAGTCCATTGCTATTTCCTGCCAAGGCTGGGATGATTCCAAACCTGCTGTAATAGACCAGGGGGCTTTTCTGGTCTTTTCTTCATGGCAGCACAAATTGCACAGCTCTTTACATAGCTTTCAATATCTTTTTTCATTCCTGGCCACCAGAACTGCCGTCTTACTAAGTATAAAGTCTTTAGAAATCCAAAGTGACCGGCTTGCTTGGCATTATGGCTTTGTTGTAGGGCTGGGAACCTGAGGGTGCTAGGAAGGTACAATTTGGAGTCTTTCCATGCTAATCCTTCTCTATGGGTCAACACTTGCTTATTGTCTCTGAATCAGGGGTTGGATTTCAGTTCGGTTCTGAATTTCTGGATCAAGCTGTTGTCGTGGTCGGGGGATTTTTTTGCATTTGATGTCTAGTGGTGACTTGAAAGGCTTTTTATGGATAGAGGATTGCTTTTATACTTGTGGCATTCTAGACAAGACATCAGCTAGGAAGTTCTTCCCTCCAGGAATGTACCTCATCGAAATATTGTGCCCATCAAACTGTTTGGGGATAACTTCCGCAGGGTTATAAGTGCCTCAAGTTTCTTATGGTCAGTTCACATCTCAAATGGTATCTTACTCCCCTCTAGGAAATGGCACCAGGTTAGCAATGCCCATTGCACAGCCAATACCTCCTTCTCCCATACAGCCCATCACTGCTCTGTGCTGGTGAGTTTCCTGGAGGTGTAAGGGCATGGTTGCAGGTCCCCCTTGTTGTTTTTCTGAAGAAGAACTGCTCCCACTGAAACATCACTGGCATCCGCTTGGATGATGAACTCCTCAGGTTTAGGGTGTTTGAGGACTGGTTTTCCTGAAAACAACTTTTAAGCTGTTCAAAAGATGCTTGGCATTCCATAGTCCATTTTAAAGGTTGGCTGGGATGGGGTTCCCCCCCCCTTTACCTGTCTTCAAACGTTCAGTAATCAATAGAGCTATTTTAGCGAAGAAGGGAATGAATTGCTGGTAAAAATGAGCAAGCCCCAGAAAGCTCTGTAGTTGCTTGTGAGTTCGAGAGGGTTGCCTTCAAGAACGGCCTTGACTTTTTCTGGGTCCATCTCCACCCCTTCATTTGAAATTTGGTACCCTTGGTAATCAAGGTGTGTCTGATGGAACTCACTTTTGGATAGCTTGACATAAAGGTTTGCCTTTAATAATTTTTTAAGCACTTCACGAACCAACCTGATATGTTCTTCCATTGTTTCTGTAAAGATGAGGATGTCGTCAAGATAAACTAGGACCCCCTTTGTTTCATACACTTTACCAAAGGAATTCAGCCCCCCTTGGCAGGCATGCTCATTGACTTTCTGAGAAGAAGACAGAGAGAAGATTGCAAATCGCAATCACAATATTATGGGGCACTTGGCAACTGGCAGTAAGTGTGAAAAGGTTGCAGAAGCATCCAGATCATGATTACTGTGACTGGAGGGGGGAGCCATGACCTTTTACATCAGCTGGAAATGCTTTATGGGGCATGAAATACCCTTTCTGAAGATTGTAGTAACTTTGAACATTCATTAAATGACTGGTTGTAAATCAATGACTACCTGTAATATGCCAACTTTAAGGCCTATACTGCAGCTTCATCTGTTTATTACTTTAAGTTGATGGGAAACACTGTTTTGTTTTGTTTTTAGCAGTTGAGAGATTCGGTGGTTGCAAACTCTTTTTTTGGACCACATGATGTCCTAGGGTTTCAAATGATCTAACTTTATTTTATATCAGGGGAGGGAATCTTTTATTTGCTGAGGGACACATCACTACACATGAACTTTGTTGAAGGATGTATATGGTTACACTAGAGCCAAAAATAGATTGAGAAATAAACATTTGAAATCTCTTTTTTTGTTTGGCTTCCAAACAACAGGCTGCTTGAAGGAAATTGCAGATAATTCTTACTAGAGGCCAAGACTGGCCTTTTGAAAGAGCTTTTGAAATTTAGCCTAAGAGCTGTTTGAAAGTAGACTGGAGGCTGTAAGATACACATCCATCTTACACTCTTCATGTTGCAGAAATAATTTTTAAAGCTATGTAAGCTTATCCTCTTCTAGATGTAATCAAGAAGCAATCCTCCCAAAGAGAGCTGCTTAGATTAATCAGTGAATCTGACCTGGAAGTTTTCATGGGATCACAGAATATTATTGGTGTTCCTTTGATATTGATGGTATAGGGGTGTCTTATTAAGCCAAGATATACAAACCTTTGGCCAGAATATGTTCTCTCTTTCTTTTGATGTGAATTGTGATTAAACTAGGAAATCTTTAGTTATCCTAAGTTTCTTTTGTCTAAAGCAAGAAACTAAGGTTTTATGCTTTGGAACTATGCTTTGAGGTAATTTGCTTATTCTAAAGCTTATAACTAGAGCTTTAGTTTCTAAAGGAAATGGGAAAATATAGTTAATTAGCAGCTTTCCAGTTTTATTACAGCTTTTTATTTAGATAAATAAAAAGCTGTAATGAAACTGGAAAGCTGCTAATTAACTTGATATTTTGGCTTCATTAAAAAATTATTATTGTCAACACCAAATCATTATGTTGTTTTGGCTTTTTTTATTTTGTCAAAAGCTGACTGCTTGCATTCAGTCCATACTGGTCAGCTCTTAACTCAAGTTTCAGGATATATTGTGGGTCTGGCTCCTGAGATATACATAATTCCAGGTTTAAAATGATCATAGTTTCCTTATAGTATACTGTGTAATGAATTGGAATGAATTTAGATATACTTACCTATAACTTCAGCATCAGAAATCTTTTCCCCATGCTCAAAGTAACCTTCTATAATAACTAGGTAAAGAGGTCTGTAGTGTATT